AAGCATCGCTGCAAATTTTGCCTCATTTCTCTTCGAAAGCAAAGCATCGCTACAAATTTTGCCTCATTTCTCTTCCAAAGCATCGCTGCAAATTTTGCCTCATGATGAAAGATTGGAATGGAATGGAGTGGAATGGAGTGGAATGAAATGGAATGGAATGGAATTGAACGAATGAATGAATGAATGGAATGGAATGGAATGGAGTGGAGTGGAGTGGAATGGAATGGAATGGAATGAAATAAATTCAATGATTGAAATGAATGAATGCATGACTCACTGAATGAATGAATGAATGAGTGAGTGAATGAATGAATGAATGAATGAATGAATCAATGAACGAACGAGCGAACGAACGAAGGAAGGAAGGAATGAATGAATGAGTGAGTGAGTGAATGAAGGAATGGAATGGCATGGAATGGAACGGAACGGAATGGAATGGGATGGAATGAAATAAAAGACAATTAATTAACAACAGAACAATTAAATGATATAATGCAAAAATGGATTAATGAGCGAATGAGTGAGTGAATGAATGAATGAATGAATGAATGAATGAGTGAAAGATTGAATGAATGGAATGGAATGGAATGGAAGGGAATGAATGAATGACTGTAAGGAAGGAAGGAATGAATGAATGAGTGAACGAATGCAATGAATGAATGAGTGAACGAATGGATGCATGGATGGATGGATGAATGTCTGAATGAATTCAATGATTGGAATGAATGAATGCATGACTCACTGAATGACTGACTGACTGAATGAATGAAAGAATGCATGAATGAATGAATGAATGAGTGAGTGAGTGAATGAATGACTCAAACAGTCAGTCAGTCAATCAATCAATGAATCAGTCCATCAATCAATCAATCAACCAATCAATCAATCAATCAAACAAATCAACCAACCAACCAACCAATCAACCAAACCAAACAAACAAACAAACAAACAAACAATCAAACAAACAACCAACCAAACAAACAAACAAACAAACAGACAAACACAAACAAACGAACAAACAAACAAGCAAGCAAGCAAGCACTCAAACAAACAAACACACAACAAACAATAAACAACCAGCAACAAACGTCACACAACTAACAATTGACAACCGCAACAACAGCAACAACAGCAAGCACTAAGCTAAAGGAACGAACAAGAACGAAAGCCAAACGTTGAAAATGACAAGTTGCCGACAAAATCCGACACAATCCGACAAAAACCGACAAATACCGACAAATACCGACAAAAACCGACTGAATCCGTCAAAAAACGTCAAAAGCGCAAAACTGGCCCAAGATGAAAAAGTCTTTGACAAACTGTTCCCCTACAATCTGTTCCCCAAACAAATTTTGATGAACAACTACGTGAACACGCCCTACCCGGAGCACCCGAACGAGGCACCGGAGCTGAAACCTGCGGAGGTCGATAGGGCGCGGATCATCGGGAGAGATGGCCTACCATTTGGAAAGTCATGGTTTGAGGATGAGCCTGATGGAGCTACGTGGCCCGGACATCACGGCAGGCGGTGTTGCAGTTCCCCTGAAGCCGAAGACAAAGTCTGTATGGGGAAGACAGCCGTATGTCGACGACGAGGATGAGCAGCACCCGGAGGCAAGGTCATCGGGGCAGCAGAGCGAGCAGGGCGCTGGCTCAGGAAAGGGGGAAGATGAATCTCTCCCAGACATAGGGAAGCTGTCCATGGCGGAGAAGAAGGACGACATGGATGGACAAGGACATCCCAAGAACCGGTCTCCGGGATGCCCAAGTCTGGGATGTGTGCACCCAAACCTCGGGATACTGAGGCTGGGCGGGTAAACACTGATATTGAAGACATAAAAACGGATTTGATTTGGTAGGGGTTCTGCCCGCGAGCTCAGTGTTGCCACTCGCATTCACACCTGCCACGCGTAGTGAATCTGAACTTCTTGAAAGCGCTCCTGCAGCCAATCAAACCATCTTTGAGACCATTCGTTCATGTGGCGACCCGGAGGTGGATCAAGAGCTTTGTAGAAAGACGCAGAAAGAGGTGGCGGTGGGATGGCTCGAGGGCCCGATCCTTTTCCTAGAATTTCTTCAACAGGCCGAGTAGCACGGAGATTTGGCGTTGCTCAGGATTCTAAAGCCCGGCCACTTGACAACTACTCAACGTGCCAAGTAAACGACTCCTGCGCTAAGACGCTGGTCCATCGCATGTGCTCACCAAGATGTAGTGTAGGTTGTTGCTCAGTTGTTTCCAATGCTCTGCCATTTGTTGTGAAGGTGATGGATTCCCCAGTTGGTCGTTTGTAACTTGTCCTACTGATTGCTCTGACTGTCTCAGCATGCTGGGTCTTGCAGTCCCAAGTATGCTGTCATCTTGTATTTCCATTCCTCGAAGGTGTTGTATTCTCCTGTGAACCATGGTTGTGATATCTTGTACTTCTGGATTCCTTCCAGCTGCTGCTTGCTGTTGCTGTTGTTGTTGCGCCATGTTGCTCACTACTGTGTACCTGAACCTGTGGGTGCGTGCGTGTTGGAGCTCACCCTGGGTAGTGGTCGAGGATCGTGTACCAGGGACGGCTGCTCTGCTACCATGAAAAAGCAGAACTGACTCTGCAATCACCTAACAACCAACCTGAATGTGTACTGTATCAGCAGGGCACTGGTTGTGTCCTGGCAATGGGCTGTAGTCTATCTGTAGGCTCAAGGCCTTGATGTACAAAGGAGCAGTGCCAAAAATGTTTATATATATATATTTATTTATGCTCTGTTGCTACCCCCCAACAGTGCTACCCCCCAACAGAATGAGGCGCGCTTTTGCAAAGGCGCTAACACGAATGGCCACCGACAACAACAGCGGCAACGAGCGCAACAAAATCAGGAATTCCCAGGAAACGCCGTCACAACGGCAACACAGCAGCAGCGAGAAAAACGCAGCCAGCAAGTTTAATAGCAGTGGCCGCGGCGAAGCCGAGATCGGTCACAACAACAGATGAACATCAAGACGGGCAACAACATCAACGCGTGTCCAGGAGCTTGACAGCGGGACAATGCAAAAGCAAAAAGCCCAGCTCTACTGAGCCCTTCGCCTGTGGAGAAACAAGAGGAGCCCCACGATAAATTTTGGAAGCGCGGAGTGGAGGTGTTGACAGAGCTGCTCGTGTCACAGGCTATGGGCCGCATGGGTTCTTCCGGGGACGCACGGGGCAGTTTGCAAAGGGCGCCGCAGGGAGGTTCGGGGAGGCACGGCGCGGTGCCTGTCATGCTGGCTGTGAATGGCGAATGGAAAGCGTGCAGCAGGTTTATGTAGCAAAATGCTTTGGCCTTGCAGCGTTTTGTGACCTTGGCTTAGGTTTTTTTGTGGAGAGCGCACTCTCAATGGTTTCAGATCTTTTTGTGTTTGAGATTATGGCCTGCCAAGCCGTTGTTTGCAATCAAGGACGTCCTCGGCAAGCTCGCCCGCCTCAACCGGCCGCCCCTCCTCGCCGTCCTCCGGCTCCAGTTCCACGTCACCGTCGGCTTCCGCCGCCGCATCGGCCAAAGCCTCCTGGATCTCCGCGCTCTCGCCCAGGCGCTCCCGCACCTTCTCGCAGGTCTTCTTGTTGCTCAGCCGGGGCGCGTGCCAAGAGCTTCCCGAAGGCCTCTACAGGGCTGTTGGACAACTTGTCCAAGATCAGCGTGGCAGAGCCTTTGGCTGCACCAGTACTTTGAGGACGTGGCTTGCCAGACTGAAGCACCGTGCCAAGCTACGGGACGCGGGGAATCCAGACAGGCTACGGAATTTAAAATCAAGTTCACCTCGACGGTTGGTTACTGTATGTGGTGGAACTGCGAAGGGCCGGGCAAAAGCCCCTTGCTCCAAAAATGCCCGGCGAGTCACTCACTGGCGGCTGGCGCGGCCTTCACCGAGGCTGCTGCCCACAACTCTTTTCGGCAGTTGAGGAGGCCACAGAAGACCCCGCTGCTGGAGGTGGAACTGGAAGTGCCGACAGCCTTGCTTGCCCACCCAGGCTAGGAGAAGTATTGGGTTAAAAATGCCACCGCCCTTGTGCCAGAGCAGGGCGTAGCTGGCACTGGGTCCACCTCACCAACGGCCATAAGGCTGTCCCCTGCCACGGCCGTTGAAATGGCACCTCTTCTGCAGCAGCTGAAGCAGCCTTTGCGGCTCTGCGGCGTTTGCGCTTCGCCCGTCTTCTCCGGGCATGGACGGAGACGAAACTGCAACTCCTCACAAGCCGCGGCGACCGCCTGAACTGGTCTTCTGGGGGCTCTGCAGCGCGTGACACGCGTCTTCTTATGCGACAATGACACAGGGCTGACCCAAGGTCTTGGTCTTCAGCAGCTGGGTGACCCGGCGAACAGCGAAGGAGCCTGGGCGCGTCGTGCTTCGCCTCGACTCTTCGGCTCCCGGCTCCCTCTTGCCAGCGATCCCATCGCGCCCGCGATCCCCCAAGAGCGCCGTTCAACGCGACAAGCAGCAGTCATTCACCAGAACCGCCTTGGACAACAGGATGACCGGCTTCGAGCTCACGCAGCAAGAGCGACGCCCACTAGGTTTACATGAAGCTTCCGTAGTGCTGGCACGCCTTGCTCTGTGTTCTCTGTGCATGCGGAGACGCGACCATTAGAGAGGGGGAGGGGGAGGGAGGGGAGAGAGAGAAAGAGAAGAGAGAGAGAGAGAGAGAATGAGAGGGAGAGAGTAGCTCCAAACTGTATCTAACCGGATTGCCGGGATCTGCAAAGTTTACTAGTAAATGTGTGTTTGTTTCCCGTGTTGGCGCGTTGCCTTCTTGGTTAGACACTTGCCTTTAGATTCCTAAGGCGAGGCCGGCAAGCTGTTCGATTGATTTCTCTTCAACATCATTTCTACACTGTATTGTTACGACCTTGGGTTAGCTGGACGTATTGCTTACACATATTTGGTATTCGCCCATTGGTGCGCCATGTGTCTGCCACGTATTTTCCAGCAACAGCATGAGCGCTGTTGTTGGCCAATAATCATGATCGCATGTGCTTAGGAGCTCTCCGCCCTGAATGGTCTCAGTCACGCCGTGGTCGCCGAAGTGCCAAGGGAGGTTGGGAAGCTAAGCCCTCAGTCCCTCCTTGTCCGGCGTTTCTGTACTCTCAGTTTGCTCTGGATTTCAGGCCACTGGATCACCCCGTGATCTCCCCGAGGATGGGGGCAAGAATCATCGTTTTGGGCCGGCGTTCCTCCCATGGCAGGATCCCGCCATCACAGCCAAGGCCGCCTTAACGGTTTCTCGAGACAAGTTCATAAGTAGCGACGCAAATGGCCAAGCGTTCGGCTGGAGAGACACTGCTTTGGGTTTCCTAGGCTGTTGCGCACAGCGACATCCATGCCGCTGTGCTACCTGTCAGGATCTTGAAAGTCGAGGCGCAGCCGGCGCAGCCAGTGGCACAGCCACTCGTGCTGCAGCCTTTGAGGAGGGCTGTGGGTTGGCCAGTCCGCCCATCTCTTCCGCGGCGTTCGCACATGTGACATTGCAGGAGTGAAGCTCCACGCAGCGTGTCATCCAGGAGGGTGGAATTCCCAATGTGCATCGATGCAGTCGTATGGCCTCATGCAGGATGATTGCAGTTGCCTCCCAACCCAACCTCGTGAGGACTGACTAAGAGTGACAGCACAGCTTGGCACCTTGGCACCACGCAGGATGGACAACGCGCAGCTGCGGAGTGTGTCACCATGCAGGACGGCGCCATCCAAAACAAAGAAGACTTTTCAAGAGCATCACAGCCACAGCAACGCCAACACATTTTGATTCGCCAGGACTCCCAGACTGTCAGCTGACGTGGGCAGCATATCCCCCAGGACCTCTCAAGCGGCCGGCTCAGCCAGGTTCCCAGAGAGCGCACCAGGATGCCCCACGTGCACGGACAGTCGCCCTTCAGGCGCGGATTTGGCCAAGACTTGCTGAAACCACATGAAAGCAGGCCCTATGAAGCAAGCACCGATGCCTATGCCTGGGGCGCCACTTCAAAGTGTCATCCCCGAGTGGTGGGCACGCACTCGGTGCGTTGACGTGTCAACATCCCCAGGTTACCAACGGCACCGCCAAGGCAAATACACAAAGTTGTGAAATTGCATTGCGAGCGCAAACGCTTTCCGCTTGCAGGTCGGTGTCCCCCTGCGTTGTGGAGCGAAGGCGGGGCAGCAAAAGCAGGACAGGAGAAAAGCCAGGCTCAGAAGGCGAACTTGTGCGAAGCTGTGCATTTAAGGTTGTCAGGGTGCAGACCACAGGCTGGGCCAAGCAGGCTGCTGCGGGAGTTTCCTTTGTCAACGCAGGCAAGTCCAGCCCAGACGGTCCAGTCACTTCCGGGGCCTCAGGGCGCCCAGGCCAGGGACCCTCACCGATGTTTCGGCACATGGCGATGTAGCACTCGCGTGAGGCTTGGCTTGTGAGCCCAGCGACGCCACGGCTGAATCTTCAATTGAGCGGCTTGCCGCCGCCTCCAGGGATCTCGTTTACACTGAAGCCCGACTTGCCTCGGCTGAAGCCAACGCAAGTGGAGGCTCCGCTGGGTGCGTTCCATTCACCACGCATGCCTCGCTTCTCCCCGTAGGGCACAAAGCTGCCACATGCCAAGCAAATCACCAAATGCCGCGCTAATGACTCCCATGCAATTTCGACTGCCGAGCGTCTCCGAAGCACAAAACAGCCAATGTCAATGTATTTTGCGTTTTCAAACCAATTTGGTGTTTTCAAAAGTGTTTAAAGTATGTTTGCCTGCGTATTTAGAGGCAATGGTTGAGCATTCGAGCTGGCAAACGATGCATTCGTGCATTACAACAAATATGCTATGTTCATCACAGAGGGGTAGCCTGTTCAGTGCTGATGGGTAACAAGCAGTTTTATGTTGAACGTTCAAGCTTGAAGGTGGCGCACACCACATGCACTCAATGCATGACAGCAAACATTGCTTGCATGATGCAACATGATTTTTCAGGGGAGGGCTGGGGAGGGGTTTTTTGTGGGGTTACGGGTTTGTACCATGTTTTGAGCGGGGTGCATGTTTGTCCCAAAGACATGGCTAGACTCCATGTCGGGGAACATGTTTGTAGCTCACATCCAGACATGGCGATTGCATGTCTTGGTTGTTTGGCATCATGTTTGTAACTCACACCAAGACATGGGTCTTTGCATTTTTCTGGGGGGGGAGAACATGTTTGTGACTCCATGTCTTGTGTTGTTTGTTGTGTTCAAGCGTCCCAGTCCCAGGTATGTTTGTTGCAGTGGCCAACTAACAACCAACAAGCGGTCAACTAGTTTCATTTCACACTCATGGTTGTTTACTTGCTTTTGCTGAGCACGCCGCATGTTTGTTACACAATGTGAGGTAGCAAAAGTGTACACTTGACCTTGACAGGGAGGGCAGCAGAGCAGGGGGGGCCTGATCTCACATCCTTGGCTACCTGGAGACTGCAAAACGAGGCAGCGCTAAACAAATAGGACCCCGCTGAAAAGCGGGTAAGCGCTGAAAAGCGCAGGGCCCCTCTTTTTTTTCAAGAAGTAGTGCCCCGCTGAAAAGCGGGTAAGCGCTCGCAGGGCCCTTTATTTTTGCTAGAGCCTGGTCCATGGAGAAGGTGCGCATCAAGGCCAATCTTGGGCACGAGCAAGAAAATCTGGAAAATTCAGCAGTTGTCAGCCCACAATAGTTTTCTCTGAAGAGCATCTAAGGTGTACTTGGCCAAACCCCCAAACTTGCTCCAATCCATTTGACCAGTCCTTCCATGACATGATGATCCTCCAACTTATGCGCACAAGCACAACCAACCACAGAATGTGACACACAGTTTGGCAGCCAAAGCGCGCTCTCCAAAAGCAATAGTCAGCCGATGAAAAGCACACTCATCAGACAACTTTGCTTGTCCAGTAGGCACCCTCCAGAACAAGAAGGGTCAAGCTGACCTTTAAAGTTGGGGCTCAGGGGGTTGACTTTCGGGGTAAACAAAGCCATGATGTAAACTTCATGCTTCATGCTAACCTCCAGCCTGCACACACACACTCCCTTTGTTCATATTCCTAAATATGCTCTCCTTCTCTGCTGGCGGTCAGTTGGCACACTCATGCCAGGAATTAGCCACACATGTCTTGGGCAAGTTGTTGAACATTCATCAGTCACAACATGGTAAGCGCTGAACAGCGTAGGGCCCCTTTTGTTTTTGGTCACAGCCTGGTGCATGAAGAAGGCGCACATCAAGGCCAATCATGGGCAGGGACTGTTGAATTGAATGCACAACCAACTAAGCACACTCGTCAGACAACTTTGCTTGTCCAGCAGGCACCCTCCAGAACAAGAAGGATCTCACTAACTTACGTGAATCCCAGATGTCCTTTCAACAGGGTCCCACGCAGCTGACCATGTCTTGGGCAACTTATCCAAGCAAACGACCTTAACAGCCATTAGTACGGAGAAGGTTCCCGGCCATTTTAAGTTTGGGCTTGGGCAAGGGCATTGTTAAGCAACACTCCAACCCGTAGAATCTGCTTGAGTCGGCTTCACCCGTCTTTCCCACTGCAGTTTGGGCTGGGTGAGTCAACCCAAATGAGCCCAACCCCGCATCCTTTTGGGGATCCGTTTTGGGAACACGGGGTCCGCTTTTGAGAGCACTTTGCTCAATTCCAAAAGGCGGCTGTTGGAGAGGGATTCGCTTTGTTCAATTCCAGAAGGCTTCTTAGAGGGAGTTCATGAGTCAGGGCAAGGCCAAGGGTTCAACCTCAAAGCTTAACACTGCAATGAGCCGGTACATGTGGATGGCGCCTTCAACTCACTGCTTGTGACCCAGGCCTGAGTGCACTAAGGCCTGGGCTGAGATTTGGCTGAGGCCAGTGCGCACTAAGGCCTGCACTGAGGTTGCACCAGCTGGCGCTTCCTTGCCACAGGTATGTCTGGCACACTCAGGTTTGTGCTCAGGCCATGGCTCACACTAAGGTTCACTGCTGCCTTTGATCTGATTTGCTTGAGGCCCAAGCTTTTATTCAACTTCGCAGCGCCCAACCCTTGGTAGTCAGCAAGCGCAACCCTCCAAAATCAAGGAAACTCTTAGCATGGATGCCCCCCCCCCCCCACGCAACAGGAACAAATCAGTTTCACAGCGCTTGACAATTACACCCCAAGTGTCCTGTCAGTAAATTCAGGCAGTGAATGCACCATCCAGGCTATGTGCTAAATCCAAAGCAAGGTTACGGGCCTCTTGGCTAGTTCCAAAGGGTTGGTCAGGTTTCTGGTCTGAGCTGCTCTGGAGTTCAATGGTTTACATAAAACAAGTATGCTTCACACAGAATTGGATTATTATGAAAGGGTATCACTGCACAACAGTAGCTGGCTCAGCAGCAGGAGCTTTGAACCCGCCATCATGAGAGACCTGTGTCGCACAGGCCGTCGGTGATGTGCTTTTGACTGATGCAAAATATAGTGGTTTGATTCCACCCTCCACCCCTGTTTGTAGCAGCGTTGCTTCACGGCAGCCTTGATGAGACCACCTGGTCCTGGCCACTCTCAAAGCCTGGGCAAGCAGCAGGTGCTAGTACTGTAGTCTGTCCAAGTCAAGGAGAGGCGGTGAGCAAAGTTGCCGAACTTGGAAATTTGCGGGACCTCTGGTTCTGCGTGCAGTTGCTGATGACTGGGGTGAAAGCTGGTGAACTGCAAGAACAGGCAGGGATCTATTGGTTGCCGATCGGCAGTTGGATATTTGCCGGACGACACCTGGAGCTGCCGAACAGATGTTTGTTGCAGCAGTTGGGGAGCACTCGCTGACTGAAGGGAGCTCTCAGTGCAGTCACTGAGCAACAGTCAAGCAATGAATTGTCAACCTAACATGGCTGTCAAAGAAAGCATTGTGTTGCAGCCTTGGCATTTGATGTCGGAGCGGCAACAGCACCGTGATCTCCATGGTGAAGTCACTGCTTGCAATGCCAACCTCCCCTTCAGCTGCATGGCAATGACTTGGACAGACTACAGTACTAGCACCTGCTGCTTGCCCAGGCTTTGAGAGTGGCCAGGACCAGGTGGTCTCATCAAGGCTGCCGTGAAGCACCACCCCTGCAACTCAGCAAGGTTGGTTGCATTGAATCTATCACAAAACAAGCAACTAGCACAGGCAGCTGCTTACCCTGCGCACCAAGGTGGAATCATGCCTCAGTCAAAAGCACATCACCGACAGCCTTTGCGATACAGGCCTCCCATAGTGGGGGGGTTCAAAGCACCCGCTGAGCAAGCTACTGTTGTGCAGTGATACCCTTCAGAATGATCTAAATCTGTGTGAAGCATTCTTGCCTTATGTAAACCATTGAAATGCAGAGCAGCTCAGACCAGAAACCTGACCAACGAAGCGGGACATGTTAGCAGCAGTTGACTTTAACTTCTGAATTTAAAGGAACTAGCCAAGAGGCCCGTGGCCTTGCTTTTGATGTGGCGCATAGCCTGGATGGTGCGTTCACTGCCTGGAGCTACTGGCAGGACACTTGGGGTGTAATTGTCAAGCGCTGTGAAACTGATTTGTTCCTGTTGCGGTGGGGGGGGTGGGGCAGCCATGCTAAGAGTTTCCTTGATTTTGGAGGGTTGCGCTTGCTGACTACCAAGGGTTGGGCGCTGCGAAGTTGAATAAAAGCTTGGGCCTCAAGCAAATCAGATCAAAGGCAGCAGTGAACCTTAGTGTGAGCCACGGCCTGAGTACAAATCTGAGTGTGCCAGACATACCTAGTGCACGCAGGCCTGGGTCAAGCACTACTAAGCTCAAGCAGCTCTACTGTGTTTCAGGCCACTTACATTCAACCTCAAAGCTTGACGCTGCAATGAGCAAGCACATGTGGACGGCGCCTTCAACTTAGCGGCCAAGGCCATGTCATTTCGGCCCACAATTTCCTTGCCCTGGCTCATGAACTCCCGACTACCTTTTCTGGAATTGAACAATGTGCTCCCAAGGGACGACTTTGTGTGTGGGAGAGGGCTCATTTGGGCTTGACCTACCCAGCCCAAACTGCAGTGGGAAAGAAGGGTTGGAGTGTTGCTTAACACAGCAATGCCTTGCCCTGGCCGGGAATCTTCTCCGTACTGTTGGATGTTGAGGTAGTTTGCTTGACAGGTTGCCCAAGACATGGTGAACTGTGTGGGAGCCTGTTGAAAGGACATCTGGGATTCACGTAAATTAGTGAGACCTTTCTTGTTCTGGAGGGTGCCTACTGGACAAGCAAAGTTGTCTGATGAGTGTGCTTGTCATCGGCTGACTATTGCTTTTGGAGACTGCCAAACTGTGTGTCACATTCTGTGGTTGGTTGTGCTTGTACGCATATGTTGGAGGATCCTCATATCTTGGAGGGACTGGACAAAGTGATTGGAGCAGGTTTTGTGGTTTGGCCAAGTGAGAAAATTTGACGCCCTGCGCTCTTCCGCGCTTACCCGCTTTTCAGTGCGGGGCTTCAGTTAAAAGAGGGCCCCTGCGCTTTTCAGCGCTTTACCCGCTTTTCAGCGGGGTCCTACTTGTTTAGCTTTGCCTCGTCTTTGCAGTCTCCAGGTAGTCGAGGATGTGAGATCAGGCCCCCCCTGAGTCCCGAGGGTATCTT